AAGGAGTTGCCTGTAAAATTTCTTCGGTACTAGTGTGAAAGATGGAATGTGGTACTTTATTTAATTACGAAATCAATAAAAGAGACGAAACAGAAAACCGTGAGGTGTAAATGCACAGAGAATAAAAGAGAGGATGTAAGAATGTAGGTTAATTAAGAAAATTCAAAACGGAAGTGAAGGAAAGGGCGAAAAGAGAAATGAAAATACTAAACAAATGCTGAAAATTTTGTTGGCTGATCTTGTTTGTCTGAAAACTTCCTCATTTGTTAAATTTCACAATAAAGAGGATGCAAAGGATATTCTTTGGCAACACTTATCTCTGACAGTTCATGAGCAAAGAATATCACACGGTTTCGCCTGGCGTGCAAGAGCCTTCCAATAATACCATCACCACTGAGTATCCACACTAACTGCCCAAGTTATCTTAACAAGATTCAGACTGCCCATGTTATTTGATGGACACGCTCTTTGTGAAGCGGAATTCCCTGCGATTTTGAAGTTCCAGGCAAAGTGGTTTTGCTGCTTGTGACAAACTGTTCTTATGTAATCGAAAAAAAAAAATAAAATGAAAAATTGATCATTGTTCGACAAAATGAAGTCAAAGAACGAGCGTTTTTGGGAGAGTAGGCCCTTTTTCAAGCCTTTTTGTCCACTGCTTTTGGATTACGAAGCGGCGTACCACCTTCGAGGTGCCGCAAGCTCGTAACGTCCGCATTTCTGCGCGTATCCAAATGTGAGGCTCTGTAGGACTGGTTGTGTACCCAAAACAAATCGCAGCAGCGTATAAAATCAGCTTCTTCTACTACACGTTCATTTTAATAAAAATATTTGTTCAGTTCGATTAATTAGCGCATAAAAAAGCCAAAAACTCTATCCAGTCTCTTTTTATGAGGAGCCGATGCATTCTGAAGTAGCCTAAAGTTATAAGTTCCTAAAGCAATCAACCACTTGCAAGGCTATCGATAGCGCTCTTTATGCGATTGTTTTAAACTGATTTGGCTTCCTGGTACACACCAATATTAATTTACTATCAAAGGGACTAAGAAAAATCGTGGAGGGTTCGGTTAACTCACTGGTGAATCGAACTCCCGAGCTTTGGAGCGAAAACAGCAGCACTTGCCGCTGCACCACGTTCGCCATAACCAGTACGCATTTTCATCTACTGTTCTTGCGAGCAGAAGCATCTAGTAGCTAAGCATTGTACAATCAGCATTTGCGAAGTTTGAAACCGTGGAGAGATCCTGACAGAGCAAGTCCCTTCCGCTGATCAGGTTTCTTTCACTGCTCCCGTCTCCTCGATCTTTCGGTGCCACTGAAGGCACTTTTCAGCTCATTATTTA